AACTGCAGGGTCATAGGGCAGATGTATACTTAGCTTTAGTTTTCCCAAAGTGGTTGTACGATTTATACTCCCAGGGCAGTCTGGGAGTTCCAGTCATTCCACAGCCTTATCAGCAGATGGTATTATCAGTTCGGTTAATGTTGGCCATTTTGGAGCGGTGCAGTGATTCGCTACTGTGCTTGTAATTTGCATTTTCTTTACAACTAATAACGTGGAGAATATTTTCATATGCTTATTGGTCATATGGATATCTTCTTTTGTGAAGCATGTGTTTTTCTTTCATTGATTTCATCCAGAACCATTTACTGAAAAGATCATCCTTTCTCCCATAAATGTAGTGGTGTCTTTATCCTAAATTAGGTGGCCATATATGGTAACCATCCATTCTTGATGATTTTTATGTACATTTCCTTCCTTAGACCAAGTGTGTCTACTTGATAGATAAAACTAAGTTTGACTGGAAAGACACATCTGTTGCAAAATTAATCAGAAATTAATTCGAATGACCTGTTTGGCACCATGCACAACATTGACACTTCCTGTCAATTCTTTGCCAATCCATTAAAATTTCACAGGTAAAATGCCACAAAGTCTACTTCTACTCAAAGTAAGTTACGAGTGTATAATACAATATGCCACACATACATGCTTCACAATCATTATCCTTTGGTCCTCTTAGTCAATACCCTGAACTATTTTTTTCTTTTTTTTTTTTTTAAAGATTTTATTTATTTATTTGAGAGAGAGAATGAGAGAGAGAGAGAGCACATGAGAGGGGATAGGGTCAGAGGGAGAAGCAGACTCCCTGCTGAGCAGGGAGCCCGATGCGGGACTCGATCCTGGGACTCCAAGATCATGACCTGAGCCAAAGGCAGTGGCTTAACCAAATGAGCCACCCAGGCGCCCTGAACTATTTTTTTCATTAACTTTTTATTCTGAAATAATTTTAGACGTATAGGAAAGTTAGAACAGTAGAGAGTTCAAGTATACCCCTCATCCTGCTTCCCCCAACAGTAACCATTTATCATCAAAACCAGGAAATTAACACTTATATAATACTATTAATTAAACTACAAAACTTGTGTGAATTTCACTGTCTCCCCTTATTGCCCTTTTTCTGTTCCAGAATCCAATCCAGGATCTCATACTATATTTAGTTGTGTTTCTCTAGTTTCCGCCAATCTATGACAGTTCCTCATTCCTTCCTAGTATAGTCAATTTGGGGGGGAGAGTGTAACATAAAAATATATATTTTTGTATAAATTATAAATATTTTTCCATTATATAAAATATATATAAAAATACAAATGTTAAAGGGCTGGATTTTTTTAAAAGAAATCCTCATATTTTCTTTCTTTATCCCAGTGGATTCTTCCATATGCCTCATTTTAATGTAAATAATACATCTTCTTCTACCAGATCATTTTAGGAAAATACCATATGGAAAAGTGAAACACATTCCTGCTCTGTCCTTCTGGATAAAATCTGCAGATGGCCACCACCATTCCAAAAAGGTATCAACTTAAAATTGCTATTTAAAGCAATTGATTGTACCCATTTCAAATATTATTTAATTCTATCCATATGTGAATTAAATACAGAAAGGCTTGTCAAACACAATGAACTTTGACCTACAAATTTGTTTTAAAAAAAGGAGGTCAGGGGCACCTGGGTGTCTTAGTGGGTTAAGCATCTGACTCTTGATCTCAGCTCAGGTCTTGATTTCAGGGTCGTGAGTTCAAGCCCCACAAAAAGTCGGGGGGGGCGCACCTGGGTGGCTCAGTCAGTTAAGCATATGCCTTCGGCTCAGGTCATGATCCTGGGGAGTCTCAGCTGGGAGTCTGCTTCTCCCTCTCCCTCTGCCTCTCTCTCCCTGTTCATGCTCTCTCTCTCTCTCTCAAATAAATAAATAAAATCTTTTTTAAAAAAGGAGATCAAAGCATGTGAAAAGGAAATGTAAGCGAAAAGAAGTTAAAAAAAGACTCACTCAAGTGACTATCCACTCCTCTGTACCTTTTTATAACATGTGATTTAAATGACTGATAGACAGTCCTAACCATAATTACAAACTCTTCATTCATTTCTTTCAAATATATGATATGAGAGAAACCTCAAATGCACTGGAATTAATATCCAGGACATTAGAGAACAATTACTATTTTAAACTCTTAAGTACCAGCAAGACTTTGAAGTCAGCTAAATTAAGCCTATACTGTCAGAGACTCATTACCCAGCTTAATATCTGGCAATTAGATCAAGGCATATAGTGTTACTATTCGATTCAGAGAGAACTATAGCTGTATTATTTAATAAAACTTCTTTTTCTAACCTCAGTTACCTTAGAAATGGAATCCCGCTACTGGAACCAGTGAAAGATAATTTGTTTTTAAATGTCAATCAAACATTGTATCTATAGCTTACATAGTCTTTTAGCTCAGGGGAAGGAAGGCAGAGATATTAATTTAATATTAATGGAACTCATTATCCTTTCTGGAAGAATCCATAAGAGTAACAGGGTTATTCAAAATCGAGAGAAGGAGCAATGTTATAGCAGAAGTCCCGTCTCAGTCTGACAAGGTCCCACACCCCAGGAGAATATAATGTCCTGACTGCTTAGTACGTATTACAAAGCTATGGTGGTGGAAGGCGACAGATAGAAAGCGTCTCCTGGGGGCGCCTGGGTGGCTCAGTAGGTTGGGCAACCAACTCTTGGTTTTGGCTCAGGTCATGATCTCAGGGCCATGAGACTGAGCCCTGCGTCAGGCTCCATGCTTAGCATGGAGTCTGCTTGTTCCTCTCCCTCTGCCCCTCCCCCCACCCATGCTCTCTCTTTCTCTAAAATTGATAAATAAATCTTTAATAAAAAAAAAAGGGGGGCGCCTGGGTGGCTCAGTCGGTTAAACGGCTGCCTTCGGCTCGGGTCGTGGTCCCGGGGTCCTGGGATCGAGAACCTGCTTCTCCCTCTCCCTCTGCCTGCCACTCTGCCTACTTGTGCTATCTCTCTGCCAAGTAAATAAATAAAATCTTTAAAAAAAAAATAAAGTTATTCTACCTCCTCTAGTATTCTAGAGGAATACTTGTGAGGAACCTTTTTAAAAAAAAAAAAAAGAAAGAAAGCATCTCCTGATTTTCTGTTTACTTCACTACCAGTTGCTCTCAGGCTCCTGTTCTGACCTCTACTGTTGGGGCACCTATAGGGCTCAATCTAGGAGCCCTTTCCTTTTCCCTTCACTATGTTCTTAACATAAATACCATTTCTAGGCTGATGTCCTCAAATTTACATCAGCCCAGACATCTGGGTTCTGGGTTACAGAGTCACATACCCAACCACCTTTTTAATCTCTCCACTTTAAGACAGCTCGTGTTTTAGCTGGAACATACCTAAATAAGAATGGTTAGTAAAACAGCAAAATGTACCAAGCACTTACTATGGGCCAGACCCCTTCTAAGTGTTTTTCATGTACTAACTGATTTAATCACCATGATAATCCCACAAGGCAGATCCTACGATCAGCCCTGCCTCTCAGTGGGGGAATGGAAGGCACACAAACGTAACTAAGTAGCCCCATGTTAACATATTTAATACATGGCATGGTCAGGATTCAAAGTAAGGTCTTCTGCTTCAGAGCCTAGACTCCTAACAACCGCGCTGAGTCACTTAAAGCAAAGTCGAGCTCCCTCACCCAGGCACGTGCTCATCTCCTGACCCCAGACTCTCTCCTCCGACTGAAGATCGGTCTTTTGTTCAAGCTGGAAAGCAGGGATCAGCTTTGATTCCTCCCTTTCCTCCCTCACCCACACTAACGAGGTCTATCAATCCTACCTCCAAAACCCACCCTCTTCCCCATCCTCAGTGCAGCCTGGATCTCAGGGAAACACCTCCAAACTAGTCTCCAGACTTCTATGCTCACACACCAGTCTCCTAAATGCATCTTCCACTCAGCAACAAAAGGGATCTCCATAAAACACACATCAGTGCATAACCGCTGAATCACTAAAAATCACCGAACAGCGATTTTCTCATGCTGGGAATAGAACCCACAAGCCTCACGGTCTTCCGAATGGTCCCGGTCTATCCCTAAAACTGCATCTTGAGTCACGGTCTCCCCACCTTACTCATTTGCCCCAACATTTATTTTTAAATGCATTTACAGTTCTCCAAAGCCAATGACAATTAAATTTGCATGATCTTTTGTTTGGGATTATGCACAACACTGACCCTTTCAGTCAGTGTGGACACCGACAACTGTAATTATGAAATGTTCAGGTGTCTATGATCTTAGAGCTGGGTGCCTCACCTCCTTCTGGCCTATCCCACATCCACATTCCTGTGTATGTTTCTACTTGTTGGAAAAAGGCCCAAGTCTACCAAATAATGAGCAACAGCTTCTGGAACAGAGAATGATCATCTCCTACAAGAAAGGTAAATACAGAAACATAATAGAAGACACAGTGAGGGGTGCCTGGGTGGCTCAGTTGGTTAAGCGACTGCCTTCGGCTCAGGTCATGATCCTGGAGTCCCGGGATCGAGTCCCGCATCGGGCTCCCTGCTCAGCAGGGGGTCTGCTTCTCCCTCTGACCCTTGTGCTTTCTCTCTCATTCTCTCTCTCTCAAATAAATAAAATCTTTAAAAAAAAAAAAAGAAGAAGACACAATGAGATAGATATGCGTGATCCTTTTGACCTTGCTTCCTCTCAAAAAGGCCAAAAGGCCCGGGGTAAAAAGACTATGACAAAGCAATAATTTAAAAAATGGGAAAGTTAATGTAAGGTGAAAAAGAAAAGGGATCTTATTTAGACTCCTGCATTTAGAACAGAGGCAGAGCACGAGCAACACATAAATATTTGTTGATCTGATTTGTAACGATGGAAAGAAAGGGAAGTATCAGTTGAAATGGGCCCATGAATCAATATTTGTAATTTAACAGGAAGACCTGGTAGCAGGATTCCCTGCCCTTGAAAAATACCCAAAGATCTACAACTGCTATCTGATGTACTTACTGGCATCATCCATGAACTCAAAGTCGCCTCCCAGCTCAGAACTTGAAAAGTGGTACTGGTCTGGATCAGCCAGGGCACTCAACAGAATCAGCAGCACCACAGCGTTGATGATCTGCAATAAGAAAGAAAAAAATTTAAGTACCCCCAGGATATGGTCCCTATAATAGGAACTTAAACTGACCATGTGGAATTTAACTTCAACAGAGGCCCCTCCTGTTCAACACTAAGCCACCCCCCTGAGGGAGCGGGCGAACATTCCCAAGGCAGAAGCACTGTGGGTCCCTTGGGAGGTAGCCAGGGGCTTGTGGTCTGGTGGCGGCCGATAGGCAGATTTCACCTCCTGCCGCCTCGGGGTGGAAGCCCTAGAGCAGCGAGCAACCCACGAGCAACCCACACCGACATACACCGATGCCCAAGGTGGGAAAAACAAACAAACTCTCCAGTTAGCCCAGTGCACTCTGATAAGCAACCACAAGTCTTTCCAGGTGATCAAACATTTTCACAGGGTCAGACAATCTGAGCCTTGAGACCAGCTAGGGAACAGAGTGGGAGAATGAATGCAAAGCCACAGCAGCCGAGCCAGGTTCGAACCCCCCTTTGTGGCACAGGTGAGCGCCTTTCCACCCAGGCCCAAGGCTCTGCCTTCTGAATACCACAGAGTACACATCCCTCGGGTACTTCAAACTTAGCTCATCTGAATGGAAATCACCTTCCCTCACCATCTCCCATCTCTGCTCCTCTTTATATGTTCTCTATCTTTAAAAAATAGCATCACCATTAATAATTAAAAGTGGAAAACACTCAGGCACTATGCTAAGTGCTCTACGTGGAGTCTCTCTCTCTTAAGCTGTCCAATAACCTAGTGAACTCGGCACTAAATTATCCCCACGTTATAGACGAGAAAACTGAGGCTTGGGGGTAAAGAACATTACTGAAGATCAGGCAGCTAACAACCTGCATCCACAAATTTTTATTTCCAAAACCTAATCTCTTAGCCTCCTGTTTATACTTGAAACCTGACTATCTCTGGGCTTTACTTTAACATCTTCCTTATCCCCACATCCGACCAATTGGAAAATTCTGGCTGTTCTACTCATGCATTTCTACTTCCTTTATTCTTCCTAACTGCATGCTACTGACACGTGTACCGACTGTGGTCGGGCTGGAGGGGCAGGTGTGGGGAGAGTTTAGGTGAGGCTCGAGATGAGACTGGGGTGTTTTTTTCTCCTTTTTGAGTTTTACTCTTGTCAAAATGGGGAGGAGAAAATGAATAACCATGAAGATTACGTAGAGGAAATTCTTTTAAAGCAGTAACTAAAGGCATATCCTACTATAAAATTCGTATTTGGTATACCTATTTACAGAAGAGGTTCCAAGGGAGTATCAGGTTGTCTGTTCGACAAAACATCCACTCCAGAACTCATTTTCCTTTTTTAAAAAACGTTTTTTATTTATTTACTTATTTAATTTGAGAGAGAGTGGGACGGGGCAGGGGGAAGAGCAGAGGGAGAGGGACGAGCAGACTCTGTGCTGAGCATGGAGCCCAACATGGTGCTTGATCCCAGCACCCTGAGATCATGACCTGAGCCAAAATCAAGAGTCAGACGCTCAACCGACTGGGCCACTCAGGCGCCCCAGAATTCATTTTTCAATGGCAATCCGAAGTGGTTGTTTTAGGATTATTGTAGGATTTGGAATAATTATTTTTCTTCCTTTTTCCAAATTGTCTCATAGGGTCTGACTGCTTTTTGAAAAAAAATTGTAATAATAAGAACGAACAGCAATTTCACAGAGTATACATACATACGTTATAGGTATGTAAAACGAATGTACATATACCATGTATGGATATATGTATGTACATATATAGGGAGCTAAAAAAAATAAATACTACAAGCATGTGGTTAAAATTTTTTTTAAGGTACAAAAGGGCATATAGTGAAGAGTCGGTCTCCAACCTATTGCTATCCACCAATCACCCTCCCCACAGTGGTTATTAGAACTACTAGTTTCTTGAGGTGCCAGGGTGGCTCAGATGGTTAAGCGTCTGCCTTCGGCTCGGGTCATGGTCCCAGGGTCCTGGGATTGAGCCCTGCGTTGGGCTCCCTGCTCCGCGGGGAGCCTGCTTCTCCCTCTCCCTCTGCCATTCCCCCCTGCCTGTGCTCTCTGGCTCTCTCTCTCTGTCAAATAAATAAATAAAATCTTTAAAAAAAAAAAAAAGAACTACTAGTTTCTTGTTTCTCTTCAGAGATACAAGAAACTTCATAGTACATTTTAGAGAGTGTGGTTAGCCAAACTGTATTTGAAGAAAGATTTTCAGAACACATCTAAAGCTTAAAGGAAGGTAGGAGTTAGTCCTACAACTGGCATGTGATGTTTGGCAAAGATGCGCTTTTATACAAACTGTCCGGTTTTCTTGGCATTTCATTCCCTCTAGTCTTCGCAAAAGACAGCCCCAAGATTATGGGCTGAAATAAAATCAGATGAAACAACCTAAGAATGTGTTTTTGAAAAAGTAAGGCACCATACAAAGACAGCATATTCACTGTTATCGTAAGGGGTCGGTTTTCAGGTTGAAAAGGGAAGCCACAGATCTGGGATTCAGACAAAGCTTAGCCGAGGGGGGCAGTGAGGAGGCAGGGCAGTGCGCCCCTGTAAGGAAATGCAGGACACATTTAGGGATTCCACAGGGCTCGTGTTGCGGAGCTCAGATTTTATTCTAAGCGTAACAAGAAGCCAACGAAGAATACTAACAAAGGGAAGAATGTGATCTGCCTGGGGTTCAAACGAGTAAGTCAAGTAAAACAACTAGAAGGGTGACTGGCATATAACGGCCACTCAAGTGAGCTCGCTTGAGCTCGCTTACCTCTTCGCACCTCCACAGGAACCACATAGAAGCTCTCGTGGATGGCTGGGAACATGACCTGGCCGCTGGATCTAAGCCAGTATGATGACGCTGCTTTCCTGTCCTTCTAGTTCCAACGCATCTGTCGACTGTTCCTGTTTTCTTTTTTCTGATTTCAGATTTTATTACAAATTTACAGTAATCAAAACAGTGTAGCACTGGCATAAAACAGACACATGGACCAGTGGAAAGAACTGAGAGCCCAGAAAAAGCTCATGCATATATGGTCAGATAATGTTTGCCAAGGGAGCTAAGGATATTCAGTGGAGAAAGCGTCTGTCAACTCGTAATCAGGCTGTTATTATCCCCATGCCTGGTTTACTCATCACAATACATTTACTAACTGCAACAACAGAAAGGCACTGTGCTAAGTGCTCGGGAAGAATTCTCCAGGACTCAGAATACGACGTTAAATAAGTCACGTGCCCAAATAACACAAAACATACAGCAGTAAGCATGCCAAGAGTTCAGCGAAGGACGAGTGGGAGTTCAGAGAAAGGAATTACTGAAGCCTGAGGCTGAGACCGGGGACCCAGGGAGCTGCAGTAGAGACGGGAGCACTTGGACGGGCTGGAAAGACGGCAAGGTTTTGGACCCAGAGCGGTGTGGGAAAGAGCACATTCAAGTCTAAGTAGGGCCGCTGCGATAGGGGCCTGTACTGAATGTAGCAAGTAGCTCAATGAGGCTGGACACAGCTTGCAAAGCAAAGTATAGGTGCATGAGAACAGAAATGCAGGCTGGGGGGTAGGAGGGGGGCACCCGGGTGGCTCAGCTGGTTGAGCATGGGACTCCTGATTTTGGCTCAGGTCATGGTCTCAGGGTCCTCGGATCAAGCCCCGAGTCGGTCTCCCGGCTCAGGGGGGAGTCTGCTTGTCTCCCTTGCCCTCTGCCCCCACCCCCACTCACGATCACTCTCTCTCCCTCTCTCTCGCTCTCTGAAATAAAGAAATAAATCTTAAAAAAAAAAAAAAAGGAAAGAAATGCAGCCTGCAGCCAGACGGTGGAGAGTCCTCAGGAGTAGGACAGGAGGAGCCTGGGGCTTCATGCCAATAGTTAATGAAGATGCCATGGAGGTTTCTGGGCTGGGATGAGCCACGATCAGAGTGCTGTTGTTAGAAGACCAAGCTGGAAGAGGTGGGGAGGCCAAGCAGGAGGCGGGCCCCCGAGCCGCCGAGCACTGCAACGGTCCGCTGAGGGGTCACGAGGGGTTTCGCCACTTCCCTCTAATTCTCAGCACTGTGGGCTCACAGGTGACTTTCGGAGGTTAAGTGGCCCTACCCCAGTCCTAGTGTGGAAGAGCCACGGGTGGCACGCCAAGGCTTTCCATGTGGAGGTAGTGTCTCCCGAGCCCCAGTAAGTGACTAGAGGCAGAGATAACGGGACGCCAACAAGACCCGGAGATTTCAAGGCTGGGCAACGGGGTACAGCTTGTTATTACCAGAAGTAAGGGCGATCACAGAGAGACGAGGGCGAAGCCGATCTGAGACACGCTGTGCTGGAGAACACTTCCAGGATGTCCAAAGAATCACGTTCTCCTCTTGTTCTCGGCGCACCTTTGGTGTTCAGGCCGGCCCTCAGTTTTGCTCCGGCCGCCTGAGGCCAGCCTTCCCGGCGTTCGCGCTCTCTCCGGCTCAGTCTCTGCACACGGCACGTCTCTCCTGACTGCAGAGTTCTGGCCACCGGTCCAGCGTCCCTCTCGCTCCACGGTGGGCCCTGCTTCCTGGCCCCGGCTGTGCCCTACCTGCCCTGCTCACGGTCATCCTTTCCTCCGTACCCCCGGCCCTCACGAGCCACAGACCACGGCCCTGGGGCCCACTGCCCTTCCAGCTGCCCTAGCTCTTCCCAAAATAGTCCAGACAGAGGGGACATCCCTAAAACAAAGCTGTGATGATAAGGGCGTTACCCACCACAGAAGACTAGTCTCCACTGTGCACTTTTCATCACAGAATGAAACTTTCATGAGAAAAACGTGTGTTGACACATACTGACTGTGTCATAAAACCTCTACTGCGGGGTGGGAATGTGGCATGCCATGGGTGATATATACGGTGAAAACAGAAGGGTGACAGGGCGATCCCTGAGGACCGTCGTCTGCGCAAAGGCGCCAGGAGAGGACTAGCCACGGTAGCTCACGTAGCTACCACACAGGACCAGATGCAAAAGGTCAGATTAAGTCAAAGGCCAAGAACCCCAGGTAAGAAGTACTT